TGTATCTATCCATAGCTGTAGATGATGTGATAAACATGGCGACTTTGAAAGCTCTAAAGCAGACATATCTACCTACAAAAGAAGACATCATGGTCCAGATATCATTAAATGCAGAACTTTGCTCAAGGTCAGATTTCTCAAATTTACTCACTTGTAAGATTAATTTGTTGTAGTATAGAATATTGTTGAAGTTAAGTTCACTGATTTCAGTTGCTTGTAAAAGCTTATGTCTCATAAGAACAAGTTAAACTTTCAATAATAAAAGAATGAAAATATATTTTTATGAATTTCAATTACTATATTTCATTTTTTAATGAAACTTGAATAGATACTATTAATATTTTTCTTTAATAACTACTCTATTAGTGCTTTTGGTCAATCCTATTGACCCATTAACTGTTGATGGATTTGTCTTTTGTTTGTCATATAATATACTTATTGTGTGGGAGGGTTAGCTGCTCTGTTTTCTAGGAGAAATACAGAAGCAGGTTGGTTTCGAGCCAAGAGTTGAGACCAAAATGTTGATGAATTATGTTGTTGGTGCATTATTTTGGAGAAATAGTGCATTTTATAGATGAATTATGTACATGAATTTTGTAACAGAATTGATGGTCAAGGTGCTTACACTTATTTTCTTTACATAGTGAATCTAAAGCTCTCTTGGTGTTGACACTAAAATGTTGATGTTCAATGACATAAGTACTCTTTAAAAATAGGCAAAGGTAATAAAAAATATATTATCTTATTTTAGATAAACATAGAGAATTACATTTCTTCTTTTTTATAACTTCTATGTTTAGTGGTAAATGTGGCTAAAATATGGTTTAATTGTGACAGGGTTAGACAACAACCTGTGTGAAGATTCTTGAAAGTCATAATGTTATAGTAAATTTAAGCCTTTGGCCAAAGTTGTGATTTATGCTTATACTAGATATGTTGTAGTAAACTTCTCTATAGTCATTGTAATAATGTAGTAAATGTGACAATTTGTGGTGATTTAGGCCTATAACAAATTTGAGCCTATCCGTTGAATACTAAACATAATTAAATCATTATATATAAATGTCAAAGTTGTATAATTGGTCTTATATAAAAAAATTGCAAAAGAAAAAGTCAAAAATATTTTTAAACCTAAATATTGAACAAATTTATTAATCCGAAATATCTGTTCGTATTAACTTGAACCCGTCTAAACCATACCCGTTAAAACCAAATCTTAATTTGAGTGAAAATAGATTTGTAAGGACTACCCGCAATTTGAGCTGAGTGGCTGTTTTGAGCCCGAACCCGCCCAACTCGATCGGTTGTCCAGCCCTACAAACTACCATTTAAAACTATTTGTCAACATAAAAACAAACATTACATCATGACATAAACATTGGTCGTGTCCTTTTATCTAAAATCCTGATTCTATGTACTACAAGATGCTAACATGATGTGACGTATGTGTAGGAATACGAAAACAGAAACAAAGTGCAATTAATCCAACCTTGTTTCAAAAATTTTAGATGGAATATGTTTTTGCTTAAATACCTGTCTGAATATCGAATCTGTCGTTTATTCATTTTAAGGTATATTGTGTTGGCTTCGGTCCCTCTGTCTCTTATTTGTTTCAATGAAATTAGCAGCTAGACACATCTTTGTTAATGTTTTTTTTTGGATTAGATCACTCCAGGGATGTATTTGGTCGCTGTTAAATGCTACTAGTAAATGTTTTGACAGTATTTTTTATCATAAATTTTTGTTGTACTGATTTATTCTGTAAATTTCAGTACATAATTCACTGTCTTCTTTAATTTCGCTTTTCAGAAGTTGAGATGAGTGCTGCATGTTTCAGATGTTCAGCTAAGACTGGTCCAAAAGGAATGCAATTAAATATTTTGAAGCTTTAGACTTCAAATTGGTTTCAGTTAATAGTATAAAATAACTTTTAATATTTAGTTTTTATAGGCTTTATAATATAAAAATCATTCATTAATATTTTTATTAATTAATATAGAAAATATAAAAAATTATCAGAATAAATTATTAATTATTTAATATTGTAAAAAATTTAAGATTAAAAAATTTTATTTTATTTTTGATAACTTTTGATATAAGTTATTTCAAATTTTACTTTAAGCCTTTAAATTTTATTGTTGTTAATTTTTGAAAATTTTATTTTAAATTTTTCATTACTTTTATATATATATATATATATATATATATATATATATATATATATATATATATATATATATATATATATATATATATATATATATATATATATATATATATATATATATATATATATATATATATATATATATATATATATATATATATATATATATATATATATATATATATATATATATATATATATATATATATATATATATATATATATATATATATATATATATATATAATGTCAAATTTATTGAATGTAAGTGTGAGGAGTTAAATCTTTGATTTATAAGAGAGAGTATCCATATACCTAATGTCTTAAGATTTTGGATGAAAATGTGATGTCTCTCTCTTTTGTAGTTCTAGAACATTGGAACCTGTTATTGGTCCTGACATCTCCGAACTTAAAGTCATGGTTTTGTTTGACGGATGAGAGAGTCATGTTTTATGTTGGATCTTGTTATATAATGTGAGAGACACACTTATAGTAGAGAATGTTGGGTGTACAAGTGATTTGCTAAGTCCAATATCACCTATGAATGACTTAGTTGTTGAATTTATAAAAAGGATACATATATATCTAATGTCTTAAGGTTTTTGATAAAGATGCGGTGTCACCATCTCTTGTAACCCTACATCATTGGGCACCTCTTGACGCTTTTAATTTCTCTGAACTCTTTAACAAGTGGTATCGAGCCATCTTTTAGCTTCATTAAGGAGTGAAAGTTGAATTCTTTGTTGGACCCTATTATAGAATGTGGAAAATTCATATTTGTAGAGAGATTGTTGGATGCATGTGTGAGAGACTAATTCTAACATCATTAATAAATAGATAAAATATTTGATTTATAAAAAAAGGAGATTTTATGTAGTTAAAATACTATTATTCAAAATTTTGCAAATATTACTTCTTCTTTAAATATAAGATTATAAGAGTAAATTATAGAAATTAAAAAAAAATGTTAAAGGCATTAAATTGAGTTTAATAAATACATAATGATAGTGAAAAATAATTTTCCAATGTTTTTACTAAAGTTATCATTTTAATATATTATAGAGTAATTTTAAAATACATGTGCCTTTTGTACGCCAGTTATTAAATGTCGGTATAAAATTAATATATTAAGTTTGTTGATTATTCATATAATTTTATAATTTTATTCTTATAAGAGATGATTTTTAATATTTGTGTAATAATATTTAATGTAAATGACAACAAAAGATGCAACATGATTATGAATCTATGGGTAAAAAAATATTAATGCTCTTTAAAATTTGAGGAAAATTTTATACCAATGTTTAAAAATATATTCAAGATAGTTTTTTATTTAAAGATAGGATAATATTCTCTATAACTTTTATTATAAAATTTATTTTTTAGATTTATTGAATAAATAATATATTTTATTTATGTAATTGTTTTGATACACTAATTATTTAAGAAAATTATTTAAAAAAAAAATAAGAGTTGAATGAAGTATTAAATATTGACACTTTTTATATTTAAATAATCATATGTCTAGTTGATAGAGGTTTGTTATTTTGTGCTAGACTCAATCCAATTGTTTATACATTACCTAATTTTAATCATGTAGCAGTAGATTTCATGATAGAGATGAAAAACATTCTAATTAGCAAGTGGTTACTTTGTAATGATGAAAAGTTCTTTGATTTTATTGAACTAGATTAGACTACAGTGATCACTTCGTCTATAAAAGACTACATATATTATTTGGATCCAGCACACTAATAATAATTTATAAGCAATCTAAGACCCACAAATTATTATTTTTAGGATAAAAACAAATTAATATTTACTTTACCCCGAGGTGAAATAATCATATTTATCAACTCATTATTTTAACAATTTTTTTTAAAGAGAGTTGAGTTTGGGAGACTCATTAGAACGATTTTTTTACCAACTAGTAGTCATGATAATACAATCTAACGAGTCTTGTTTATGTTGCATGAAGTTTTTAATATTAAAAAGAGGATACACTTTTATTTATTTATTAGAAAAGAGGAATAAAGTTGAAAAATCAATTATACAATCTAATACTTGCATACTTTTTCATAACTCATCACTTATTTATCACTTAGTTTTCTAAGTATTCCTTATTCCTTAACATCACAACTCTTTTAGAAATTCAAAAAACTTATAAAAGATACAGAGAAAAAGAATTCTACATTAAATATTGATATATTCATTGTCTATAGACTGTACCAAAGTGTTAGCAAACTCCCATTAAAAGTGAAAGGTTACATATTCTTTTATTCAATTATATTTACTGTTAATATAATTAAGAATAAATAAAAAAAATTTAAAAATCTAAAATGAAACTGTGATTTTATAGGACCAAGCATTCACCAATTCAGCAATGCACACATAAGTCAGTAAATAATTTATTGCATATAAAAAACAAAATCCGTCGCCAGTTTTGGGCCTTTACTATTACAAGTGTGGCCCATTATTTAATGTTTTCAACTTTTTCTATGTTTTTTTTCTTATATTAGTTTTCCCCTTTAATGTCAATGCATAGAAATACTTACTTTTACTTAATTATTTTATTCCTTCAACTTTTTGTCTGTTTAATTTTCTTATACTTAGTTTTTCCCCTTTTGAATTAATATTAATGCATGATAATTGCTGCTTTTACTTCTTGGTACTTAATTAATTTCCCTTTGTATCAATAAAGGGCCCTAGCCAATATAATTGATTATTACTCTTCTGATCCTTTGTCTATATATACCAACTCTCTCGCCTCTCATTTTACCTATCATAGATACCTTCAAAAACTACATAACTATACTTCATCAAATACTTTATCATGGGAGATAATGTTGTAGTGTCCAATATGGAGCTTGAGAGGTTACTTAGCATGAAAGGTGGTAAAGGAGAAGCTAGTTATGCCAACAATTCTCAAGCTCAGGTATTTTATTCAATTTTTAACCGATTCGATAGATCAGTTTATTTTTTTATTGTTAAAAACAATTCAGCAGAATATTCTGATATTCACGCTCTGTTTAGTTTACTAATGACTAAACAGAGCGTGCTGTTCAGACTCTGCTCAGTCATATTGTGAATAAGAAATGATAATTTATTTTAAATTGATTAAATTTGTGTAGGCCATACATGCAAAGTCAATGCTCCATCTTCTAAAAGAAGCACTAGATGGAGTTGAGCTTCATGCTCCTAACATTCCATTTGTGGTGGTGGATTTGGGATGTTCATGTGGGAGTAACACAATCAATGTTGTGGATGTGATTGTAAAACACATCATCAAGCGTTATGAAGCATTGGGATGCAATCCACCGGAATTCTCTGCTTTTTTTACTGACCTTCCGAGTAATGACTTTAATACCCTTTTTCAACTCCTCCCTCCAATGGCTAACTATGGTACTAGTATGGAAGAGTGCCTTGCTGCTAATAATCACCGTTGCTACTTTGCCGCCGGTGTCCCCGGATCTTTCTACCGGAGGCTTTTTCCGGCTAGGTCTGTTGATGTTTTCCACTCTGCATTCTCTTTGCATTGGTTATCTCAGGTAATATATTAACACCTCTCTGTTTTTCTCTGTTTTTATCTTCTCTTAATATATATTTTATTTCACAAACACATAAATATCCATAATATTGATATTGCCACACATACCTAAATTTTAAAATAAAATAAAATAGTTTTAACTGCATGTGTCAGTAAAAAAAATCTGTATTAGATTATATATTATATAGATTTAAATCGATGGCAAATAATTGAAATTATTGCAATGCACGTTGCAACCGTTATGATCTAAATTTTGATTTAGAGTAAGTTTGAAATATACATTTATTGTTTTAAAATTTTAATTTTTGATGAAAATTTTTAAACAAATACAGACAAAATTGTACTATCAGGTTCATAACACATTTAAAATCACATTGCAATATGATAGCTATACTGCGGTCGCAATTATGGTTGCGGATTAATTTATCTTGTATTTTTCTAATTATTTTAGCATATAATCTTTCAAGTCATGCTATGACTTTCTATCTTTTAAAAACCTTTTGATTGAATTTCAAGTTCAAAGTATATCATATATTTTCACACCCTTACCCCTGTCCGTACCCCACCCATCAAAGAATCTATGTAGTCACTATGCAGTACTAAATTCCACGACAAAATAACTAAAAAAATTTGCCACTTGTTAAAGATAATGATATTATAAAACTATATTTTGAATGCATTAGTTAGAAGCTTAAGTCATAAAGTATAACGAAAACATGTCAAGATTAGTTTCAAAAAACAAGGTCATTATATGGTCCCATGCATGCATGTAGGTACCAGAATCAGTTGAAGACAAGAGATCAAATGCATACAACAAAGGAAGGGTTTTCATCCATGGTGCTAGTGAGATAACAGCAAATGCTTACAAGAAACAATTCCAAACAGATTTGGCAGGTTTCATCAACTCAAGGTCAATAGAGATGAAAAGTAAAGGGACCATGTTTTTGGTTTGTTTAGGCAGAACTTCAGTGGACCCCACAGACCAAGGTGGGGCTGGTCTCCTCTTTGGGACCCATTTTCAAGATGCTTGGGATGATCTTGTCCAAGAGGTAATCATCAAAATTTTATCCAAAAGTGAAATCCAAACACTGTGCATGTTTTTTATTGGCAGACCAAAAAGAACTTGGGACAAAAACATATACATTCTATAACTTACCATGATTTTAAAAGTTGATGTTATATGTTTGTTGCCACATTCATCATCACAATAGAAATAATAATTGAATGCTATGATGATGACATTTTCATATTCTCATATCACATGTGGTTTAATTTAATACATGGTTTATCGTTTTAATCATGTGCTTAATCACTTCATAGGGGCTAATTAGCAATGAGAAAAGAGATGACTTCAACATTCCGGTTTATGCACCAAGTTTACAAGATTTCAAGGAAGTGGTTGATGCTGATGGTTCATTTTCCATTAACAAACTTGAAGTTTTCAAAGGAGGGAGTCCTCTTGTAGTGAATCAACCAGATGATGCAAGTGAAGTGGGAAGGGCTTTGGCTAACAGTTGTAGAAGTGTTTCTGGTGTTCTTGTTGATGCACATATTGGCGATAAGCTTAGTGAGGAACTTTTTCTTAGAGTGGAGAAAAGAGCCACTAATCAAGGCAAAGAGTTGTTAGAGAAACTTCAGTTCTTTCACATTGTTGCATCACTTTCTTTTGTTCAATGAGGAGTAAGGGAAATGATATGGATTTGAATTGTGTGCAGTGTGATTCTGTGGAATCAACATTATTTGAATTGCCCGATTAATATTGGATAGTTCAAATTTCAATGTAATTTTGTTTTTATTATTAAGTTTTAAAATATCTAACTGGAAATTAGGTCTTTTCGATTTTAATTAGATAATCTAAAAGTGATTTGCATATTGTTCCTAGCTAGAATAAGAATTTGGTATAGATCTAGTGGAAGGAGTTCTTTCGATACGACGTTTCGTGGACGGACCTTCAAAGTTAGCATTCTAACGTCTAAGTCACTGATAATGCGTAGTATGAGTGTATGATAGAATACCTGAAATGATGCGTCTTGAATTTTATATAGTGAAGACTGTTAAAACAATCTCTATGCGATACGATGCCTCATACAAGTTATCGTTTGATTAAATCTAACAGTGGAAATGTGCTAGGGGCACGAATCACATGTCCTTGGCTAGAGTGGGGTCTCACATGTTCCGCGCATCTTTCCGTGTCATGCATGTTTGTTGGACTTTCCAACATGAGCCAATCGAACAACTTAAAACAACTGTCCCCAAAGCCCTTGTGCTTACTCGAAAAGTGGGGGCTTGTTAGGCTTGCCTTCAGTCTGGCTTCTAGTGGAAGGAAATGGAAGTTCCTTGATTAAATATCCCTCCGTGATTAGAAAACTTTTTGCAAAACAGTTTTGACTCATGGCCCTAAGTATAATAGCAGTGATGTCTTCATATATATACTAGGGTATTCGAGTATTTCTGAACGTTCTAAGCAAGTTTTGACCCTATCGGTGGTTCACACTTTCCAACGTTTACCATTGGAGATCATATTGTCATCTTTGTTGGAGGATATATGCGGGTTTAAGAGGTTGTTATCTCCTTTTTTTCATCATTCGTGAGTCTTAAGAACTATTCTTATGTGTTTGCGATTTATTTCATCTTCACCAACACCCACTGGTTTTCCATCATTCCAATACATCTGTGTCATTTCCTCTAATAGAGCATACATTGTGCAAGTTAATGAGTTCATCTTCTTCAAGGTAACGCGTCGACACCCCTTTCTTTTCTTCTATACTTGTATGTGTTTCCAAGGTTTCTAGAGATGAGAGTTATGGAATATTTTGAAGAAGAAAATAACTATCAATGGTGAAATGTCGAGTGGCGATATTTATTATGAAAAGAGGTTTAAAGCTTTGGTCCTTCCTTTCTTGTGTTTTGGAAAAATATATCATCATAGATGACTTTCGAAAGTGATGCAAAGTATAAATTTGTTTCTTTTATATGTTGGCAACCCTTTTTAAAATGGATAACTTTCACCTCAAATATTGGAACACACAAGGAGACAACTCGGTCATGTATGTGGTTCAAGAGACATAAAATATTGTTTCTTCCTTCAACGGTAAGGGTGGCTTGGATCATGCTTTCACCAAGGTGGGTCATTCTTTGGATTGAAGGGTGTTTTTCCCTGGACAGTGATAAAAGGATATGCAACAAATACGATGGGTGTGTTATCTATGGTGTTAGTGTAAGCCCTAGAGGCCAATACTTTTGGTACTTGTATCTAATTATATATTAATAAAAGACATTTCTTTATTGTTCTGGACTGGGCCGAGACCTGCCCCTCAGTCGGGTAGGCCCAATCCAATACTACGCTGATGAGGCCCAACAAAGGTCCAATCCTCCTCTGTCGGGCATGTAACGCCAATTTTAATTATTTGAGAAGTTGTGGCCTTTAATATTAATATATTATAAATGATAATGATAATAAATTAATAATTAATAGTAATGTTAATATTATTATTATTATTATTGATATTAATATTAAAAGGATTTATATTATTGGAATTAATTTGGAATACAAGAAAATAAGATTTTCTTATTTATTTGGGATTAAGGGCAAGAGTGGCATTTAGAAAGAAGGGAAGAGAAAGAAACATGAGCAAAGGAAGAAGAAGAGGAACGCGGTAAAGTGAAGCAAACTTGAGCAAGAGGAGGAAGAAGATCAAGCTGTTGGAATTTGCGGATTATCATCGATCAAGCTGCTTATTGAGGTAAGGGGGGAGAAAATAGATGGGAAATTGGTAATGCATGAATAAGGGTAGTTGGGGAGTCCTTAACCCCATAGGCTTTGATGATGATGAATTGCATGATGATGATTGCATGTGGTTGATTAAGTTCTGATCTTTGTTGTCATGGTGGAACCATTGCATGTAATGTTTGATGATTGTTTGGCTGAATTGGGTATTTCGGAGTAGATTAAGGTTTTAAGCCGAAAGTGGATTAATCGGCAGAAGTTGATGTTTTATCGGATGATTTTAAAATTAGTTGGGTAGAATTTAGGTAGAATGCTAAGTTGAGGTTGTTGGTACTGATCTAGAGAGAATTTGTTGGGTTTTGAGCTGCTATTGGGATTCTGCACAATGGGGTTTTTCTGGAATCGCAGACACTCGCTAGCAGGTTCGCTAGGCGAGTGAGTAGCGAGCATTCGCTAGGTGCTTGCTAGGCGAGCTAGGTCGCAAGCCATTCCAGTGGCCATTTTTCTGTACTCGTTAGCAGGTTCTCTAGGCGAGTGGTGTAGCGAAGGATTCGCGAGGCGAAGTCCCAGCGAGGTGGTAGCGAACACTTCCAGTAGCTCAGAAGTGTGATTCGCGAGCAGGTTCGCTAGGAGAACGTGTAGCGAGCGTTCGCTAGGAGCTCGCGTAGCGAGCAAGGTAGCAAACATAGCAGGATTTTGTTTTAATTGAGCTGTGTTCATCTGATGTTGATGATTGTGATCTGTTTGATGTACAAAGATAGTGCAAGGATACTGGGTGTATGTCGAGTGTAATAGGGTTGTTTTGTCGATGCCTAATGTGATTAATTCGATTGATTGATTGTGTGATATATATATATATATATATATATATATATATATATATATATATATATATATATATATATATATATATATATATATATATATATATATATATATATATATATATATATATATATATATATATATATATATATATATATATATACATATATATATATATACATATATATATATATATATATATATATATATATATATATATATATATATATATATATATATATATATATATATATATATATATATATATATATATATATATATATATATATATATATATATATATATATATATATATATATATATATATATATATATATATATATATATATATATATATATATATATATATATATATATATGCGATGTATGATGATGGATCAGTAGGATCGTGTACACCTTATGTGCTTGATGATTGTGTGTTGTATGATGATGGATCAGTAGGATCGTGTGCACCTGTTGTGCTTGATGTTGGTGTATGCTTAGCATGATGCATAATGGGATCAGTAGGATCGTGTTGGTCTTGGAGAAGGGTTGATGGCCAAGTGTCCATCGGCGATTGCGGAGTTGAATTGTTGCTCGGATGGAGTGTATGCGATTCACCCGTAATCGTGGTAGAGATAGATCATTGCTCGGATGGAGTGTATATGATCTATCCTGAGATTTGATTATATGTGCTCAAGAAGAGTGTGGTAGGGATAGATCGTTGCTCGGATGAAGTGTATGCGATCTATCATGAGATTGATTATTGTACTCAGATGGAGCATGGTAGGGATACACCGTTGCTCGGATGGAGTGTATGCGATCTATCTTGAGTTTAAGTCGGTACCGCATGCATGTGTTGAGCTACATTTGTGCATTATTGTATGCTGTGATTGATGATTGGACAGTAGGTCGTGTATGTTGATTTGTGGGGTGATGATGTATTTATTTAATGCCTTTATTTCATGTAAATATTTACCGTTATATTTCAATCATGTTTTCTCACCCCTTTGCTGTTGTTGTGGTCTGTGCTTCTTCGGAAGTACAGATAATCCAGGTGTTTAGCTAGTTGGATAACAGTGTGTTGATCGAGTCTAGGATGCTCTGATACGTAACACGGGACTTTGGGGAGTTTATTGCATATCTGATGATTTTGTTTATACTCTGTGTCGTATCATGTTTTGATGATGTTTTATATATTTTGGGCAGATGGCCGAACATGATGTATGAGATGATGTACATATATGAATATATGTTGTGACAAATTTCTTTTCCGCTGCTTGTTTTGAAAATCTTTTAATGAAATGTTTTGTGGAAATTTTTGTGAAAAGTAATATCCCACTTTTTGAAGAGAAACTCTGATAATTTAATTGATTTATTCGCATTTTATTTAATTTGGGAAGTGAGGTGTTACAAGTTGGTATCAGAGCAGGTCGGTCCATCCGGCCAGTGTAGTGATTTGAGTCTGTCCTTAGGATAGAGGTTGTGTGTCTTTTGACCCTGTGTTGTTTTTGTTGAGCAGTATGGTAGGAAGGAATGATGTTGCTCTAGCTGCAGCTATGCAAACGATGGCGTAGGTGGTTGCCAATCAGAATCTGGCTGCGGGTGCGCAATTCAGAGATTTGACGCAGTTCCAAAGTAATAAGCCACCGATGTTTGAAGGAGGAATTTTGAATCCGGAAGCTGCACAGAAATAGCTGAAAGCAATTGAGAAGATTTTCAGGACTATGGGTTGCAGTGATGAGCAGAAGGTGAGGTTTGGTACCCACATGTTGGAGGGTGAAGCTGAGGCTTGGTGGGATAACAGTCACCAGAGATTGGAGGTTGCGGGAACTACCATTACTTGGGAGGTGGTTCGGACGATTTTTCTGGAGAAGTATTTTTCGGAGGATATCAGAAGTTCTAAGGAGATTGAGTTTCTGGAGCTGAAGTAGGGTAACATATCTGTAGCAGAGTATGCTGCTAGATTTGAAGAGTTGGCTCAGTATTGTCCCCATTACAATACTGATGAGGCAATGACTTCTAAGTGTTTGAAGTGTTAGAACAGATTGCGTCCAGAGATCAAGATGGGGATAGCTTGTCAGAAGATCAGGAGCTATCCTGAGTTGGTGAGTAGAAGCCGAAT